TCTCAATTGTTGATTTCCGTTCATCTAACGGTTATTATTTATTTGAAATAAATAAATAATTAATTATTATAGATAACCGTTAGATAGACGGAAATCAACGGTTGAGATGAGGAGTAAGAGTGGTAAGTCTTACTCTAGAGTCTAAAGATCTCTCCCCATATATATATATATATATATATATATATATATATATATAGGGTCAGGATCATTTTACACCAGTGTAAGTTACACTTTCAATCTTATCAGTTGATTTCACTTATATCTAAGGGTTCTAAATTTTTAGTAACGTGAGTCATTGGATACAAGTGGATCAATGGTTAAGATTGAATGTAAGACTTCTAACTCTTACACCGGTGTAAGATGATCCTGCCCCATATATATATATATATATATATATATATATATATATATATATATATATATATATATATAGGGTTTTCATTTTATCTTTTAACATAACATAACAAACTTTCCTACACTCACAACATTTTGTGGGGCCCACACTTTTTAAAACAAAAAAATAAATAAAAAATTAAGGCACGCAAAACGAATCTCTGTAACATTACACAATCACTTTTCCTACAACATAACTCTTATAAAACCCATATATATATATATATATATATATATATATATCTCAAGGGAATACCTAACACGAGTTTCATATTCAACGAGGTTAGTGCGATAGACCTTGCTTTTAACGTGGGTCTGCCCCTGTCTTTATAGGAAAAAATTACTTAGAATTTTTTCTGTATTTCAATAAATTAGTCCAAAGTTTACTAATGAAGTTAATATTGGAGCCTGTACAGTAGTCCATAGCTAACAGTCTAACACCCTTACTGCAGCACGTGTAAAAGTGTTAAAGGGCTGGATAAAAGCAAAATTACTTGGATTAAAGTGTCTACCTTTAATAAAGATTAAGTTCCATTACGTGTCTTTATGTTGTTCTTGTTTTGCTCAGATGGCATGAGCCATGAGTCTTGCAGGCTTTTCCCCTACATGCTCCCTGATTTCCTTATTCTCTTTTTTTAGTGAGGTGGTAGTAACGTGATCTACACAAAGAGCTTTGATATATATATTATTCCATGACTTGCATGTACCTTTTCTTTAGATATTGGAATCTTAATTATTCAATGTTTTTACCAAAAAAATAAAAAAATTATTCAATGTTAGCCTTTGGAGTAAAGTAAGACCCAGTACGACTTGCTTTGTCTCGCCACTTAGATATTGTTTAAGTATATCAACTCCTATAAATTATGGAAAAATTTTATCACTAGTTCACTTTTAATGGCTAAGGGTTTTCATAGGTGAAGTTTAATTGTTCTGAGCCTGGCCAGCTTAAATTTTTTTATTAGACTGGTTTATTTTAGATTCGAATTTAACTTGATCATGAATTAACTAAGGAAAAATATACTCTTATATTGTAGGAGAGTATTTTTCTCTCCTACACATACATCGATTTTCGTGTTTTTTCTTTTTCTTTTTTTACAAGTGAGTGGGTCCCACACATAATTATTTTTATAATATAAGAGAGCTTCTCTCCTGTTGCATGAGATTAATAAAGCTCATTAACTAATAACCAATTTTGAATTGGCCTAAATATTTAGATCAAATATATCAACTTGAATATTACAGAGAATTAATATTAAAAAATATTTTATAAATTATATTTTAAAATAAGTTATATCAATAAAAAATAAAATATTATGCAAAAACAAATTGATTTAAGTCTATAAGTAATATAATTTGTTATTTTTTCAAATGTAAAATTTTAAAACATTATATAACATCAAGCCAAATTAATATAAAATAGAATAGAATCTGAGAAAAAATAATACATCAAATTCAAATTTTAGAAACTGAACATGATCAGTTAGCCTTATTCGTCGGGTAGATGCATGATATTTACTTTTTTATTTTATTTTTTTGGTAGTAAGGTCATGATATTTTTTTTTAAATATTTCATTTTTTTTTTGGAACAGAGATATTACATTTCGAGTGCATTAACTTGTTTTCCTACTCCATCAAATTTGTCAAAATCCTGATCACATAACTTCATAATCAACATTATTAACGTGATTTTGTAAGCCAAGTACTTAGAAAAACTGTTAGAAATCGACAATCACACGAATCGTAAACGAAAAGAGAAAAAGAAAGAGAGAATAAATACACTGATTTATCCTGATTCACCCAATTTGAATTATGTCCAATTTGTCTGTACTATATTTACTTCACCGCCAGTCGTTATAAGTCACTCGGTTCACAAGTAGAATATAAATAGAATTAAAAAACTCTAAAACAGTTATTCATGGACTCAAGTCCAAATTATTAAAAAAGAAAAAGAAAAATTATGATAAATCAAAGGCCACAATAGTACCTAGCCTCTACGGGCTTGGAGGCGCTACCCCCAAACCCCCGCCTGCTCAACTGGAAGCGGGACCGCAGTTGTCTTTATGCTGATCCCGACAACACAGACCCTCGTTAACATGTGAAGTATGAGTTATACCCAACAAAAACTGTTATACCAACTACGTTTAATCTGTCGAAAACATCAAGAAGAAGGGACAAATCAGAGTTAAAGATAGAAGAAAAGAATTTCAAGTTCATATAATGATCTCTCTCCCCCTCCCCTCTGTCTTAATTAACACGAATTAGTTTTTATTAGTGTTATCAAATTTTATTAACCAATCAGGAAAAGAGTAGCGAAATGAACTCATACACAAGACGCAAACCCAGGTATTCCATTGTTATGTTTTATTTCTGTTCCACGACATCACTTTTGTAGGTTTTATCATTTCCCACTCCATTTTGATTAAGAGTGTGTGCAGGGTGTTGTGTTCAATTCCTTGTAACTTCCAAAAAAAAAAAAAAACTTTTTCTTTTCTTTTCTATAGCCTTTTTTTTCTTTCAAGTCACGTATTTGTCTGTGTGTAGTTTCAAGGGTTTTTCGTACCTATTTTTTGGGCCTTTCGTAATTCCATTATGTTGTATAGTGCTAAGTCATGCTTCAAGGGTTAAGCCCTCGTTGCTTCTCTTCGAGTCGAACCAGCCACACCAGCTGATTTGGGCCTGAACATTATATGACATAGGTCAAGAAATCAGCTTGAAATGGCCGAAGTTGGAATACATGAAAATATTGTTATCATTGGCCCATTTAAAAGTGTCATGCACATGTATTCCTAGTTGGGCCAGCACTGGTTTTGTATTTGTAATTCTTAGCTAAATATGAATTCAAAGAAGAGAGAGAGAAAAGAAAAAGAAAAAAACTAAAAGGAACTTGTATAATAGCACATTTATTTTATGGGTTTATTGTTTATTATTTAAAAGGATGGTCCTTTTAGATAAATATAGTGTGTTTTTTCAAATTTTAAACTACAAAATTTTCCCTCCTCTATCTCTTCCCCAAGTTTATTTCTTTATCTCTCTTAAAAGGATATAAGTGTGTATCCTTTAAAAGGATACACACTTTTCCCTTATTTTATTGGGTGTAGCTGGCAAATCTGACATTTGCAGCTATGGAAACTCATGGCTGGTATCGTCAGAAATATGAAGATTACCCAAGTAAATGGTTTGCTGTAATTTCATTTATTCTCTGAGATCGTGGCAATGTATAATTATCACAATAGATTGAAGAAGTAAAGAACTCAATTATTTCTTATTATGTATATGTTTAGATTAAGATATTTTGTTTTTAGAAAAGCTTATAATTAAAAAACCAAACATTCAGGGTCAGTATTGTATACTAAATAGTTACGGTCTTACTGATGTGTTCAGTCTAGATATTCCATAAAATTTTGAAAGCTATTTAAATTACTCGGTTTGTTTCCAGGACTTTTGTGACACCAATAATTTTTCTGTATTTCATACTCACTTCAATTGAATATTGTTGACTGCTGTATATAAAAAGAAAAGAAAATATTAACATTCTAGATTATTTTTGGAGGTAAAATACCATTCTTGATTTTACTTGAATGGAGCAACGAGAGAGAGAGAAACAAATCCTACCACGATGTGAAGCCCCAGTTGGGAGAGGGAAACAGATGACTGAAGTTTGAAAGCCAGAGCAAGCGATGCGATGGATTGAAGTCCAAAAGCACTGGGCTTGGTTACCTGGGCTTAATGCTAGGTTTAAATTTGAATTCCAAGTTAGATCCTCCAACGTCAAGTTTAGTGTTGGAAATGTCTTCTTTAACTAATAATAATAATTGTTTATATTTTACTTAGAGCTAAGAAAAACACATGTCAACAATCTGTGATATTTAAAAATTCTTGGGAGTACTCAAAATAAAATACCTTAAAAGTAGGTATTTCAATTTCAAACCTAGTTCTTGAAATGCCTTCTATAATTAGAATTTCAGTTTGTAATAATAAAATGCAACCCTAAAATTCCCAGCTTAACTATTTCGGAATGCAGTATTATTTAACACATAAAAAGCTGCACCATTTTTTACACTTGGCTTGTTTTTTAAAAAAAAGTGTGTTGAAATGTGTTTTTCTTATTTTACCTACACATTTATTGACACCACTGTTCAGTGTTATTGCCATGCTTTTCTATTCCTCTTTCACTCACCTGGTTCCTTTTCTAACTTTTATCTCTTTACAAAAGCTAAAGCTATTTATATTTTTATAAAAATATTTAGTTTTTGAAAAAATATTTAACTTTTGACTTCTGCTTTTTTTAGAAATTAAAATTTTCAACTACTAATAAAAGTAAATTTTTGATTTTTGATTTTTTTAAAGCAAATATCCAAACGAATATAAAGTGAGAATTACTTTTCATCCAAACGAATTCTAAGACCATTTATACTATTCCCGCCTTCAATTTCGGGCCACTACTTTTGAATAGCCCAAGCCCATTATGAAACACGCTAAGAGCCCAACTTGACTGGCTTGTTGTGACAACTCAACTGGGCCGCTTAAATTGAGGTTTGGGTCATTTCTACCAGGACCAGTTGAGGCATCCGAGGATGTAATAAACTAACTATATAAAAAAGGAGAGCAGTGATAGGTGGTGTAGCCACGTTTTCCTCACTCGTTGTACGGCAAACAGAGATCGGAACTTGGAAAACGTCTCTGTGACGAAATCGGAATATCTCACTTCTCAGATCAGATCTATTCGACGTCGTTTCAGTATTGATGGCTCCATTCAGCGGCGATGAGACGGCACCGTTTTTTGGCTTCCTTGGAGCCGCAGCTGCCCTTGTCTTCTCCTGTAATTCATTCCCTAATTTCTCAATTAGATCTGTGTTCGTCTTTTCACGATCTCTTTTCGGTTTCGCTTTTTAACGATATTTTAATATTCGATGCGCAAAAGTCGTACAGTAATATGTCTTATATTGTGCTTGTTGATTCTGTTAGTGCTTTGATCGTTTCTGTGCAGCAATTGTTGTTGGATTCAATAAGCTAATGCAAATCATATATTGGGTTTTATATATAAACGCTGAAATGTTATTGAAATGATTTCATGGTCAAGTAGTCGTTTCTCACGTTATAGGTAGTTGGTCAACTATCTCTTGTAAGAATCTTCCTTGTTTTGAAATTCTGCAAACAAAATAATTCTTATAGAAATTGTTTCACTTAATTTTGAAAATGATTGGCAGAAGAACAGTTGAATTGTTTTAAATTATAAAAAAATCAACAATTGGTAGCTTCGTCGTATCTCTTCCTTCTCTCAAAATTTATGTTACTAAGAGTTTCATTTGAACTGATGGAGGAAGGTATGGGAGCTGCGTATGGCACAGCAAAGAGTGGCGTAGGTGTGGCTTCGATGGGTGTAATGAGACCAGAGCTGGTGATGAAGTCTATTGTCCCTGTTGTTATGGCTGGAGTTTTGGGTATTTATGGCCTTATTATCGCTGTTATAATCAGTACAGGGATTAATCCAAAGGCTAAATCTTATTACCTCTTTGATGGTTATGCACATCTCTCCTCTGGCCTTGCCTGCGGGCTGGCTGGGCTTGCTGCTGGCATGGCTATTGGTATTGTTGGTGATGCTGGTGTTAGGTATAATTCTTCTTCCCTAGTAACTCATCTATGATTAAACTTGAAACTGTTTTTCAGGGACCCTTTTTGTTTCTTATTTGCTATGGTGCTAATGTCTATAGAATTCCACATTGACACTGCTTTTTATCATTGAGTATATGGGTCCCTGAATTCTTAGTTACACTGCAGAACTGTTTTCTTAGGAAGTACATGTTGATATATCCCTAGTCTTTTTAACCATCAAATTGGGTATAAGTATAATCCTTGATGGAACATATAATTTGCTGTTGCTAGCCTGCGTTTGTTGTGAATTTGATTTAGGAATACACCTTTTGCAATAATTCCTAATACATTCCTCTCTTTGAATAATTCTTCTTCTTCTGCAGAGCCAACGCTCAGCAGCCAAAACTTTTTGTTGGAATGATTCTCATCCTCATCTTTGCCGAAGCTCTTGCCCTGTATGGTCTCATTGTTGGTATTATCCTGTCTTCTCGTGCTGGTCAGTCTAGAGCTGATTAAGAAAGGAGCTGTGCTGCAAAATATTCTTTGATCACCCTTCTTATTAAGAGGGCGATGGGGTAAACTTTTTAGTTATGAGGTTAGTAATGTTCGGATAGCACTTGCAGAATTTAACTAATACTTATTATGTGTAAGCAATAGCTCCATCAGCTATTCGGTGGTTTGTATAAGTAGTCTTTCTTTGCTTAATAAAGCTTCTTAAGCCTCCTCTTTTTTTCTAGTGAAATGTATTATGCCATATGATCTTGGTCTATTTTTTTTTTTTTTTTAATGCTGCTGCTGAAACTGGTGCATGTAATGATTTGGTTGCCAATGTTACTCATATTATGTGCATTAATGGGTGTTTTCATATTGGATGCTGGTGCGCGGCTAAGCTGCTTTGTGTTTTCAGCTGCATAATCGATCTTCTCACCAAGAGAAGAGCATTTTTTTGAGTCGTGGTCATACTTTAAAATCATATCATAGTTATTTGATTGTTGAAGTAAGCTCATAACATGAAATGAACTTACTTAAAAGAAATTTAAATCAACAAACTGTTGTATTAAAGTTGGGGCAAGATATATTTACCACAAAATTTTTTTATCACTCTTACAACTAATTTAATCATCGTTGATTTCCGTCAATCTAGCAGTTATAATTTATTGAGAATTAATAATTAATTAATAAATGTGACACAATAAATGTTATTAATTTTCAATAAATTATAACTATTAGATTGTCAAAAATCAACGGTGATTAAATTAGTTGTAAAAATGATAAATTTTTTCTATGGTCAGTAGATCTGTTCCCATTAAAGTAACGGCATGATATTTCTGAGTTTGTTAGTATTTTTTTTTGTTTCTTAAATGTAACGTGATTACTCTGAGCATTGAAAGATAAACAGAATTTAAATAAGAGTGAGTGATAAGAAGAATTATCAAGCGAGGCTCTGATCCAAGAGGGAAGATGAGAAATTCATCTAAAATTGTGCTTGCTTTTGTCATCTTTTTTATCTCTTTAAAACCACTCACTATTTATCACACAACTAACTTTATCTTTTTATGACCCTCTCACTCCCACGTGCCATAGATGGTGTCATCTAATTTTGAGCCTTTGTCCACGTGCTATTTGGCTGTTATTTCTTATACGAGTGAGGATATTCTAACTACTAAAAATTTTCACTACTAATTTACTACCCATCACATTACCATTGGATCAAAGAGAGAGAATGTTAAAAAGTTTTTGAAGAGAGAGAAAATGTTAATCTAATGGTGATTAGATAGGTAGTAAGTTGGTAATAAAAAATTTTGGTAGTTAGAATATCCCTTCTCTTCTTATACAGCAAAATATGTTCTTTTTCGTTTTTCCTTGATGGTCACCTATAATTTCAATAACCACTTCAAATTCCAATAATCAGTTCGAATGAGCTAGTGACGAGGGCTTTTGAATAGCTTACATGAGGATTAAACCTCATTGCCGTTATTATATAAAATAATAATAAATATGTTATAATGTCCAAAATTGTTAACAGTGGGATGCTTTTCACTTTGTTCACATTTCTATTAGTTCAATCGCAAATTTCCGACAAATACCAAGAGGAAATTCTCTAGCTTCACCCATTCTTTTTTGGATTATGCTGCGTCCAATATTTTGTTTGTTCTTTTAGCTTCTAGTCCTATGTCCTCGATCCCAGATGGTTAAACTCCTTTGGATGCTTGCTCCTATTTATCTAACTCAATGTGGTTTAACTCAATTTCCGGTTCAATTGATAGCACTGATCCAGTTCTTATCGATGACATTGCCCCAAAAGCAACCTTGAAAAATTATAACCTTCAAGTTATGGCAATTTAATTTGTTTCTATTTGAATTGGTTCCTTTGATATTTCAATTGACTAAGCAACCATGGCTTTTTCTCCTTTTATATTTGTTTTAAACTTGAGTAAATACATTTTTTGGTCCTTAGCAAATTTCATGATGTCCGTTTTAGTCCCTAGCAAATAAAAAGGCTCATCGTTGTCCCTAAAAAATTCAAAATGACCCATTTTAGTCCTTTTGAGGACTAATATGGGTCTTTTTTTAATTTGTGAGGGACCACGATTTCAACTAAATAAGTCCATTTTGAATTTTTTAAGGACCACAATGGGTCTTTTTATTTCCTAGGGACTAAAACGGGTATCGTGAAATTTGCTGAGGACCAAAAAATGTATTTACTCTTTAAACTTTTAGATAAGGTCATAAGGTTTTCAAAGAGCTTAAATCTATAGCAAGAAAGTTTCACGGAGGAACAACACCAGGGACGTAGCCAGATGCGATGAGCATATATGTGTAAAAGTAAGGAACACTCTGGATTAAATTTTAAAGAACCTATGGTAACTAAAAAAGGGAGGAAGCAGATGAAGCGTTATCATTCATTCTTGTGTGAAAGATGTAACTAAAAACTTGATACTAACGTTGCCATAGTGCAATCCAATGAGTATTGAATCTTAAATAGAATAGTAATTATTGGGCTTGAAAGGTCCAGTCCAATAATAGCCCAAAGATAAAAATTTAATTAATAAGGAAACATTTGCAGCCAGGAGTTCGTAGTCTAGATTAGATCGGTTTTGAAACAAAAATCATCTGACTCAATACCTTCAGTTTGATCATTTAATCACTTATTCGATTTGGATTTCTTTTAAAATCCGATTCGATCCAATCCAATTTTATTCAGTTTAGATTGGATCGGTTTTCGATTTCTTGAAAAAGCCTAAAATTTCAGTCATATAATTCAATGTTATTAAACTCGACCCGATTATTGACCCGGTCCGCATGACTCGATGAGTATATATAAATTTATAATTTTTTATATAAATTATAAATATATTTAAGTACTTATAAAAAAAAATTTAATTTCAAATATTCTTTTTTTTTTTTTATAAATAAATATTCTAACTTTATTAGTAATGAATATTCCATTTTGTATTCCAAAAGAAAAAATATTACTTTTCAAATACAATTTAATATAATAAACTTTTAAAAAAACCGTAGCTTTGCAAAAGAGTCATTACATTTGACAATATAATAAATTACTTCTTTCACTCTAAAAAATACAATAAATACAATTCATTACATTCCGTTTTTCAATACAATGTAATAAATGAAAAGTACAAAAACATTGGTCATTTTCATCTGCTATTTCACAGCCCTATTTCACAGCTGTCTATCGTCTCTTTCTTTTTTTTCTTTTGAAAATAACTATCATCTCTTTATTGCTTCTTCTTCTTTGCCATATCTTCTTCTTCTTCTTCGTCTCTTATTTTGATAACAACTCTAGTCTCTCTTTCTTTTTTTCTTTTGAAAACAACTATTGTCTCTTTATCAAGCTTCTTCTTCTTCGTCTATTTATCTCCTCCACCGCCTCTGCCCCGACCAGATCCGACCAAGTCATCTCCACCATCCCCGGCGGCCACCGTTCCATTTTCTCCGACGTTTTTCCTTCCTTTTTGTTGTTTATTTTTTACCCGGCGAGTCACCGGTTTTAGTAAAATCGGCCGGTTTATTCCGATTCACACCGGGTCACACCTGTTTGTTTGCATGTCTGATCCATAACTTTACCCGGACCGGTCACATGGCCGATTTACCGATTTCCGGTTCGACCCGGCCGGTATGGTTTTTATAACACTGATATAAACCACTAACTATATCAAAATAAAGTCCTTCAAAGTTACAAACCATAAGAAAATTCAAACCTTCAAACTAAAACAAGTCTTAAAACTCGTGAAGAGTTAAAATAGATTAATAGACAATAAAAATTAAAATAAGATAGTTTGCTATCAATAACATCCAAGATTCTAAGTTTACAAAACAATAAGATTCCAAGTCACCATCTTTCGAAAATAATAAATACATAATACATTGGATTGATTTAGATTGGATCGATTTTCACTCACCAAACTGAAAAACGATCCAATCCAATTATAATATGCAGGGTTTTTTTCGGTTTTTGATTTTTCGGTTAATTCGGTTATCAACTTTTTAGTTCGATCACCGCAGTTTGGATTGGTTGATGAACACCCTACCGCAGAAGACTCATAGGCCTCCTTAATAGCCAATAGTAAAGGATAGACACAAGATTTCAACCAACCCTGAACATCACTAAGGGGCTGTTTGGTAGAGGGATAAATTTTAGATTCACAGAAAAGTCACATTGGGAATGTTAGTTATCCGTGTTTGGTAAAAGGATTCTTAACATTTTTCTAGGAAAATGAGATTCCATGTAATTAAAATTGTGAATAAGAATCCCATGAAATAGTATTCTTGCATTCCCACCTGGTGGAAAATTTTTACATAATTTATCGGAGATAAATAACCTTGCTTTAATATTTTCATGACTAAAATACCCTATCTTGTTAAAACCTTAGCCGTGATACTTTGCTTCACAAAATCGTGGGTTCCTTTCTTCCATTTCATAACGCCTTTATTGGGTTAGTTTTGTGGCATATCAGAAGTTTTATGGCATATCAAATTATTTTTTTCAAAAATTCATCAAATGTTAGTTTTGTAAAATTAACTCACATTCCCAAGAATCATTGACAATCAAACAAGCATAAAATCAGAAAACTTGAGCCAACATTCCTGAAAAATTCACTTTCCCAGCATGTTCCTAAGAATCGTGATTCTCAGGAACAAAAATATTTCTACTCTACCAAATGCCCCCTAAGAGTCATCCCACTAGGGATATAGATTGACAAAGCCACAATAATCTACCAATTAGAGAAATGCTGTCATACTAAGGCTGGGTAATAAGGAAACAAGCAGGTTATGTCACTACTATAAAAGAGAGACTCAAAGCCCATGTATGATTATCTTCTTTCAATTTTACTTTAACTCATCACTATTACCTTCCCGCAGATATCATCTTATGTAACAAAGCAGTTGATCCCGTAACAACAACCCAATAAGCTATCAACTTGGACCAAGTTCAACTGTGTATGGTTAAGCATAACTCTTTATGGACTGATCAGTAATGAATAGGATAAGAGTAGAAAATGATATGAGTTTGATAAGCATATTTTATCATGTGTTTAATGTGGGCTAAATAAGCAGTCTAATAGGATAATGTTATCATTTATGGTGTTTAAGGCAAACCATATGGTGTCATTATATAATATAAATAGACAAAAAATATTATTTTTAAAATAATTTCATATGATTTTTAAAAAAAATATTTTTTTTTACTTATTTTTTTAAATTATTAAAAAAATAAAAGTCACATTTTTAAATTATAATATTGAAAACATAAATATCTTATAAAAAAATTTAAAATAAAAATTCATATCCTCACCAAATAAATTTTTTACAATTAAATTTTAAATTGATTGTGTATGGGTGGCTAGTGCAATAGTGGTAGGTAGGGATGCCAATTGAAGTGGTGGTGATGATGACATTTGTAGGGCTTGGTGGTGATGGGTGGTGTGTCACCACCACTGATAACAGATGGCAATTGTGGTGGCTGACTAGTCATTAGTGATGGTGGCAGTGATAGTTGGTGCGGTGGCGATGCAACCGTGGCAGAAGTGACTGATGGCAGTGATGGTAGTGGCTAGTGGTGGAAATGATGGTTGGTGCCTGGTGCCGTATAGTTGGGGTGGTGATAGCCAATGGCAATGATGGAGGTGGCGGTGGCGGTGACCGATACTGAAGACAATTATGGTGGCTAACTAATGGCGACGATGGTGGTGGCTAATGGTTGCAGTGATGGTTGTGCCCGATGGTTGGGGTAGTGGTAGTTGGTAGCTCATGATGATGGCTAGTGGTGATAATGGATGGTAAAGGTGGCTGTTGGCCGACGGTGACAACAATGGTGGCTGGATGGTGGCAAAGATTGACTATCATGTGCCCAACAAAGTTTGTACGAGAAGAATATATGTATGGGATGAGAGGAGTATGATATTTGCTATCCTATCAATTTCTATCTCGAGTCTCCCCTTAGGCCTTGTTTGAGAGTTTGGAGGGGAATGGGAGGAAGGCGATCCAAGGGGAAGGAGGGGAAGGAAGTGAAGGAAATTGAAGGATATTCTTTTTCCTTGTTTGGAAGTTAAAAAAATGATAAGGAAGAAAATTAGAGGGTTAATGAGATATTTTTACTTTTTTTTTTAAAATTAATATAATTATTATATTTTGCAAATTAAATTAAATTCAAAATTTCTAACAAAATTATTTATGTACTTTTCACAATACTAAAAAAAATCATATTTTCGTTGAAATTTTTACGTTGCAAACGATGAAAATTTCATCACAAAATTATTTTTTCGTCGGAATATTTTTTGTCGAAAAGTGACGGAATTTTTTCTCCGATGAAATTTTTTACAAAAATAAATTTTTTATCAAAATTTACGATAAATTTAGTTTCCTTCAAAAGTTTTGAGGAAAATGATTTCCTCCATCAAATGTTTTAAACGAAAATGAATTTCGTCAAAAATTTTGACGGAACGTTTTTCGTTCAAAATTTCGATGGAGATTTGTTTTGACGAAAATTTAGACGAAAATTTTTTTGTCAAAATTTTTGAGGGAAATGTTTCGTTCTAAACTTTCGACGAAATTTAGATTCTGTAAAAAAAATTGACAAAATATTTTTTTCGTCAAAATTTTTCGTCAAAAAATTTTACGGAAAATTTTTTTGTTTAACTTTTTTGACAAAACTGTGTTCCGTTGAAAATTTTGATGGAAATATTTTTTTATCATAAAACTTGATGGAAATATTTTGAGTCAAAAATTTTCATTTGAAATGTGTTTCGTTAAAAATTTCGACGGGAATTGTTTTTGTCAAAAAGTTTAACGAAAATATTTCCGTCGAAAACTTTCAACGGAATTTGAATTTTGTAAAGAATTTTGATGAATTTTTTTCCGTAAAAAATTTCGATGAATATGTTTTTTTGTGAATTATTTTGTGGGAAAAGTTTTTGACGAAATTTAGATTCCGTAAAGAATTTTGACAAAAAACATTTTCAGTCAAAAAGTTTTTAATCACAAATTTTGATGGAAACTTTTTTCGTCGAAAATTTTTGAGAAAAATTTTGGTGGAAATATTTTTCGTAAAATTTTTGACCTAATTGTTTTACGTCGAAACTTTTTGACGTTTATGATTTTCATCATTATTTTTGACGAAATATTTTTCGTCGATAAATTCTGTCGATATTTGAAACTTTTCTAATAATGTCACTTTTAAAATTGATTCACAATTATGTAGTTTTCACATCTTAATGCTAAAAGTAGATAAATAATTTTGAATATTTCCCCCTCAAACCCCCCAAATTTGAAGAACTTAACTGTTAAGAAGAAATAGGGTTTTGGAGGATTTAGTAAAAATCTTCAATTTCTTCCCCTCATTTTTTAAACTTACAAACAAGGAAAGGGTTTACTAAAATCTTCTCTTTCCTTTCCTTTTCCTCCTTAAATTAACTCCCAAAATAAAGCATTAGGATATTTTTTCTTGCTGTGGATCCAGAATAATGGTTGAGAGCATGATAATTATCTTATCTTAAACAAACAGGTCCTAAACTTAAAGTCATCCGTGATTTAAAATAATAATATAATAATTAAATTTTATATTTCATTCCCTCAACTTAAATTTTTTGGGTCTATCCTGGTATACGTCTCTCTCTAATAATGCTGCTTCATTTCCGGTTGAAATATTAATCACTGTCCAACTCTGCTAAACAAATTGTTTGCTCCGTCATGTCTCTCGAAAATATCGTCATACAGTTGGGCCAATGCTTGCTTGTTTGTACAACTATTGGTTACAAATAAATGCATGTAACTGTGCGCTTTGATTTATATTTAAGAGTATATAATTAATTTTGATAAAGTTTGGTAAGTAATTAATACATTACTCATCTTGATACATTAAGGATGCCAATTATGGTTAAAAAAAAAAGGATAACAATCAAATCCAGATCTAATGGGTATTCAAATTGTTTACTTGTTTGGTGCCAATTTGAGAGTTTAAATGAATTTGGATTTAAGGATTTTATCGATGAAGTTCGGGTAATACTATATGGGTTTTATAAGAATTATGTTGTAAGAAAAATGATTGTATTATGTTATAGAGATTCGTTTTGCGTGGCATAATTTTTTTTTTCTTCAAAATATACGGGTCCCACAAAATATTGTGTGTAGAAAAAATTTTATGATCATGTTAAATGATGAATGCAAACCCCATGCTATATATATACACACACACTTCGAATAAGTCTTGAAATATTAACTTCGTTCGATAATATTTTATAAACATTAAAATTCAAATTCGAAGCAAGCCTCTTCCCTCTTGCTTTTCTCAAGATGAGAGACATGTTCTCCGTATATATATTTTTTTAAACGAAAAATGGCTTATATCTGTTGGAAAATATATTAACTAAAGTTGGGATTAGCGGCAAAATATGCTAAAACCCCAACAAATGGTGCGTTAATGTATGTGGTTGGCTCGGATTTCCTAAAATCAACCCTATCATCCACATAAAAATCATCTTCTCCAGGTCCTCCAACAATGGCTCCCACAAGTACATTAGGATTGGAATTCGTTGAATTGTAGTAGATTGAACCATCTTTGCACGCGATGAACTGGGGATGATCCTTGATCGAAGGTAAAGAAGAAGCACGGTGATGAATACGCTGCGGATAGTAGTTGCTATATCCAACCATGTACGATAATCCCATTGGATTATCACCCAAAATGTAATCAACTTGTCTCTTGGCATGCTGGCGAAGTGTTTGTGCACTAACATAGACGTTCCCACAATTGATGACTTGTGACGTGCGAGTTAAGTAATTGGCATAGACCAACTCAAGGAATGCGATTGAAGTTGCATGCTGCAAGTTGCTGCCTCCTGGCCTGTATACTAGTCCACCAGACGTGTACTCTATGTGTGAGCTTGGTGATTCAGGTATTAGTGTGCACATGAAGCTCTCTGCTGAGGCCCTGTAAGACTCTAGAGAGTACATGTTTCCTTCTAGGACTTCCTAAAAAATTCATAAATTTGGGTATCAACAACATGCACTTTGATTTTAATTTTTCTTTGGGTATGTGAAACTCTGAACGATGGGTATTTATTTTATATAGGACACCTAAATTTTTGTGATTTTAAGTGTGTTCATAAATTTTGGCATCAACAACATGCACTTTGATTTTAATTTTTCTTTGGGTATGTGAAACTGTGAACAATGTGTATTTATTTTAGGACACCTAAATTTGTGTGATTTTAAGTGTGTGGTTGAATTCGGTACGAGGAGTAAAATATGAGGCTGACCTTGGAGACAAGAACGTTTAGGCCAGCATGCTTGTTGTCCCAACCAAACTCATTGATGTTGTCGTCGGCTCCAAGCGTTTTGCCATTGCTTTGAATGTAGTTGAGGAAATTATCGTCCTGCGTGGCCCTTCTTAGCCATGCGGCTCCCCACAGCAACTCGTCCTATCATGTTAAAAATTAACAATAACTGACCCGTCAAAAACATATCCACATTACAAATATATTCCCCCGATGGGAATGGATATCCACGTGAAAATTTTGTTTGTATTTGCTTTCTTTATATATATTAACAATTAATTTTGATATGTCGTACTTATTTAATTTCTATAGAAAAGAGAAATAGACAAGAAAAAATCCACATGTTCATGTGACCATTCCCATTTTTTATTGTATCATTAGATTGTGCAGCTTGCATATTTCATAATTATAAGATATATAATCTATTTAACCAATGTAATTTGATGATGATTGAACACAATATGCTCGTAATTCGAATTAACGAAAGACGAGCGTAATTAATGGAGCTGAATTAACAAAAGAGGTAGCAAATTAGCAGGGTAATTTAATTTGGAAATGATGGCTAGCTACTGTTCAATTTGTTGAAATCATTTTTATTATTTGGATGTACCATTGTCCATATAGTTTTCATTGTCTCCTGAATGGGAGTGTTTGGACCATTATCTTCGGAAGGCTATTAAAAGTCATAGTCATATACCTGATAGCCATCGAAGTCACAATAATATGGGCAGGCACCATACTTAACATTAGCATTGTCGCTGTAAGCACCCCTGTAGCTGTCAGCAAATTGAAAGGCATTAATAGCATTTCGAAGCAATGTCTCTGAATATCCCGGGTCCGATGACCGGAATGCCATGGATGAGGCTGCTAGTGCGGCAGCTGTTTCACCGGCGACATCGGAAGCCGCGTTTGGTGCATCAACAGCATACACAGTCCTACTTGTATCCATGTCCTCTGGCCTCTCCCAACAATCATGGTCTGAGCTTGGATCACCCACCTATGCCATTCATATAAAATAAAGTAACAACCTATGTTACTAATATAAAGCAAAACGGGACAGTAAACTAATGACGCACTATTCCTTTATTCCCTGGACTTTAAATGACGTATGTTTCCTTCGAGATTAAGAAACAGAAAGGGAGAAAAAAAATGAAGCATGAAATTGTGAAAATGTCCCATTGGTCCACCCCTTTTATTTATTTATTCAGAATATTTTTTTTTCCAATAAATTCAGGATGTCCCCATATGGTAGGATAAAATTAATCCCTTCGTGACTTGAAAGAAAAAGATTTTCACCATTAACCCCAAAATACTTTTAGAAATTGAACTCATGACTTAATCAGCCTCGATACTTAAAGTGCAATCCACTTACTAACTAACAGGATTAGAATACTTTAATTGTGCCACAAAAGGAAGAAATAGGGAAATGACCCTCTCTCTATCTCTAGGTTAAAATTACCAAAAGACCCACCTAGCTACCTGTGGCTGTAAATTCAATCCAAAAGTTAAGTTATTAGATAAAGGTTAATAAATAATTTTATATTATACTTCTTTAACATAATTTATATTTGGGTTATTTGCGCATATTATATTAATAAGTTATCCACATATTTCATTGAAAAACAAAGCGCAGCTTTTGACGTGAAGGTAGGGAAAAAAAATTATTAACCTTTTATAATTTATATTTAATAGATCAAAATTATTAAATATAAATAAGATGTCAAAATTAAAAATAAGATAATATTTTTCTCCGCGACATAAAAAAAATATATTATCTATTGCCAATACAAATTCACGTGGGCTCTTTTTCTAAAAATAAATAAAAAAAATAGCATATTTTTCGAAGGATCTGCAGAAAAAGTTTTCTTCCTCCAACAACTAAGAGAATTATATTTTCCTTAAAAATATAAGATCTCCCATCAAAAACTGTAGTCGATGGTTCACATCTTTCCCAAAAGTCCAAACTAATCTTATTTGTCCAAATGGTAATAAAATAAAATATACAAAAAAAAAGGAGGGGTTGGAATTTGTTGGCCAACCTCTTGAATGTATGAGAAAGGGCATAACCTGTGGTGGGGGCAAAGGGTCAATACCCGACAAAGGAATAGACGTAAAGTGTTCATGGAATGGAATCACGTTCTCTCAAAAAACTAGCATCACCGTCACTCACCATTAATTCCAATTTACTAAACTAACCACTATAAATGTAATAAATAGTATTAGTAATAGCAATAGTAATTTACCTGAACGAAAATCCGATTGGGCTGAGAAACAGTCTTGAGCAAATAATCGGTGGCCCAACGGATTGCGACGAATGCGTTTCTGAGTTCGTTGGGTGGCATCATGTCCCCGAATTCCAGCACGCTCCACGCCATCATTGTCGTCGTGAACGCCATCGGAAACCCGAATTTGACGTTGTCGCCGGCGTCGTAGTACCCGCCGGTGAGATCCGTGTTGTAGTTCCACCCATCACTCAGACCCGAGTTGCCACGCCAATTCATTCTCTGATCCGCTGGTAGGAAACCCGATCTCTGTCCCTCAAAGAAAAGAATGGCCTTTGATAATGCATCTTGGTAGTCATGGCTGTTTCCCATTCCAATCAGCAACACAAGAAACACCGCAACATGGTATAAATTGGAGACCTTCATTTTGGTTTTGGTTTTGGTTTTGCTCTCTCTCTCTTTGTGTGTGTAGTGATGAGTGGGTCAATTATTGAAGACTGAAGTGAAGTGGGTCTTATTTATAACCGCGCAGTTGAAGAGGGAGTGTACCACGGGGTGAGAACGAAACCAAGAGAGAGAAGGTCGGTTATAGATTTGGAGGGAAGAGAATGTGTGCGTTTGCGTTAGTTAAACTTGTGAGCGAGGATGTTATCAAAAAAAAAAAAAAAAACTTGTGAGCGAGGAGTGTCAGTGATATCACATGCTAACACTGCTCTGAGGGCACAAATGCTTCACCTATCAGATAAAAGGTTTACCTTTTATTAAGTTATAAAAAATCATTTTATCTCTTAAACGATATTTATATTTTCTTTTTTTCTTTATTTTTCATATCATCTTATATGAATTCTATAAATTTTTATGTATATGTAATAAATAATATAAAAAATATTAATTCCCATATAAAAAGTGAGTTTGGGGCTTTTATATTTGTGGGTTCAAATTCTTCTTTGCGAAAAATATTTCTTTTTATGAAGAAATTTTTTTCTATCATATTTACACAAAAGTAAATGAACCCCATTTAAAGAAAAACAGAAAAAAAATAATGGAACCACTTATTTTTATACAAATGTATAGAAAAAAAATTCAGAAATAAAAATATAAAACTCTTTATTTTTTTATTTTTTTTGAGACGAATATACTTACCATCAGGTAAGTTTATCGCACTTACAAATTTCAGAAATAAAAATATTAAACTCTTTGTTTTTTCTTGCTAAAGTGTTTTATTCCACTACTTTGTTCACGCGCGATGAGATGGGTTTGCCGTTACCTATCGCTTTCAAGTTTCAATGACAAACTATTATCAGGATTTCCGGGCTACACAGTTCCATTCTATGCTATAACCCAACAATAAGGTAGTGTTTGGTTGGGAGTTTTTCAGTGGATATCTATGTTTCTCAAGTATGGCTTTTAGAAACACCATATTTGTTTCAACGTATTTTCACCAAAAACTCATCTATCCAATTTGTATGGATTTATGAGAAACATAGATATCCGCACTGTTTAGAAACCCAATTTGAAGGTGAGATTTTTCAGAAAACCGATTATCTGGCCTTTAATGCACGGTTGATTTCATAAAGTTAACTAATTTTTCATTAAAGTTTTTTCTCACCAAACAACTTTTTTTTACATTTTTCTACTTATCTCACTTTATTTATCTTTCGAATCATTTCTCTATCTATTACATTTCCTTACTATTCTAAAAAAATTTCCTCAACCAAACGCTCCCTAAGAAAGTTTGTCCTGCAGTTCAAGATTTAATTTAGTAATCTTAAGAGGTTTATTTGCGTGTCTTGCAGATTCTTCCAGGATAGAGTGGGTTTTTGTTAGTTTGTATGTTCCTGAAGAGAAAAAATTTATACTTTCGAGGTAATTTATTGCAACTTGATGAGCTAGTGGTGGTGTAGTGGATTCCAAAATTGTAGAATATTTATCTCTTTATCGAAAGTAGCAAAAAAGGATAAAAGTGTCCATTTTCTTTTTTTCTTTTTTAATATATATCAACCCAAATTGGTTTCCATAAAATGAGTGAGAATCAAAGGCCACTAGCATTGACACGTTTGGGAATTCAATCTTAAAAAATAAACCTTAATCTCTATAAATTAGTCAACCGATTATAGTGGGATGGCCATGGGAGTACAAAATAATCATCAAACCCAATTGATGGAAGTGAGCGATGTTATTACTTACTATTAGACTACCATCAGTTGTTAAATAATAAACATTATTTAATATATTTATTATATAATTTAATAAAATTATTTCAAAAGTTACAACTAGTAAAAATCAGACCGATGTTATAGAAATATACATCATAATACTTTACCACTAGACTATATTAAATTATTTAAATTACATCATTTAAAATATTTATTATATAATTAAATATAAAATATAAATTTTTATACATCTATCCGGATCATGCAATTCAACCAATAACTCACTGGTTAAACTAATTATCTATTAATCCGGTGGGTTTAATAACATCGGTCCACAGTATGCTTAGGCAAGTCTGTGACAGACAGCAAAGGCACGTTGCACAGCGGCAGTTTAGCGGACCACTTATCAACCTGTTTTACCAATACATCAATAAAAAAGCGGTACTAATAAACCACCACATAAATTTTTCATGTCTACATTAGGAACCAAGAATGAATTATGGAACAAGCAACAAAAAAAGAATCAACGTGAATTTTGTGGTGGTGATGCAATTTTATTCTTACAAAAACATACATTTGAAGAACTAGTAAGTGCAACATATACTGCCAGAACCCAAGTAATAAATTGACCCCAGGAAAGGAAAGTGGCCAATGTGTAAAATTGAAATTATTTCGGACACACTAATTACAACTGTCAGCTTCACTTGGGTCGCCTATATAGAATGTCATCTAGGGTCTCTTTTACATAGTGACCCACTCTGTTCAAGTTTCTGGCAACACCGGATGCCACTAGGCTTGCATTTCTTTGAAACCTGCACATTTAGAATCTTCGAGAGTTAGAATTAGTAATTTCAGAGAACATCCCTTACATTTGTGTTTCTACAAGGCACATAGATACTACAGGCATATATGCTGAAAAGTCTAAACTTCTGCTTGCCTGTTTAAGAAATCTTCTGCTGTGATATTTGGAGGTTTAAATCTTCGTGGTTGAGGAGTAGCATGTTCATGTTCTGGACGAACAAGCCAAAAATCAAGAAATGAAAATGCACAGTATGAAAAAGTACAAATAAAAAGAGAAGAAAAGAAACCGAATTACCCACAAAATATAATCTCCAACAAAATAAGAGCCTCGAGTAATAAAATAATAATACAAAAATCCTGATACGTAATCATTTTTAATATAAAATAATTGTTTGACACATAAATTCATGCGGAATTTTTCATAGATGACATGTTAGTTTTTTTACTGGCTTATTTACTGTAAATATAGCATAGGAAGAATACATAATATAGAAGAAAGAATTACGCTGTACAGTTGTAAATAGGATTGTGTTGAGTTTTCCAAGTGATACATTCATGATGGAATCACTTGCCCCATTACAAGCGTAGAAAAGTCCACTGGTAGCACAGGCAGAGGAAATTGCTTCACAAGCAAGTATTGTGGAAAATTTGTTATCCAAAATTACTAATGAACAAATAATATCTCCGATGATTAATAGAAATTCTTCAAGATTGGCAAAACTAAATGATGCTCACATAAAAAAAATAGGTTCATTTTCATTTTATCTTAAATATATCTAAGCCGCTGAGCACAATAAAGAACAACTTGAGAATGTCAGAAAAACACACAGCAGAAAATATGTCCTACTGCTTCTATGACTTTGCAAGAATTTCCAGCTTACATATTTCACATTGTGGGAGAAGCTATGAGATACAGAGAGGAACATAAACTAATGATCTCCAACTCCAAGAAGCAAGGGAATTATCCAAATATGCTGAGGCTTTTAAATTTACCATTATTCTGTTTGTAAGTTAATGAGCGCTTGAAAAGAATTGAAATAACCTACGAACTGTAAATAAAAGAAAAACCAAGAAATTTAATACCTTCAGTTTTATGAGCAGGAGCAGGAACATGGCCAACCGGTGAAGTTGAGGACTTCTCCTCCAATACCACCTGAAACATACGATAATAGTGTAAGAAACTTAATCCATATTTTCTTGGAATAAATTGAAATGCTTATTTATTGCACCACCTCCCCCCTCATCCCCACTCTCTCCTTCATATCTTTTTATTTTATTTTGTCTTTAATGGCCTCAGAAATCTATTATTTGGCTCCCTAAATAAATTTCTGTTTGCTCCATGATATATATAACTCTAAATTGAACAAAGCATGGCCCAACTCCCAAGAAACCCTTGGAGCAAGATAAATCTAGCTTTTGCATAGACATAAATTCAAAGGAAAAGAGGTTGAGATATGAAACCTCAAGACCAACACAAAAGGGCAATTTTGCTGTTTTATCCTGTGATTCAGCTGAAGAATCTTTGTTGTCTAAGTACACAGAGTATCCAATACAAGCATACTTGAAATTTGTAAGGCTGCGGCCCTCTTTTGAAGCTTCCAACTCAGTTTCTCCCACAATGTGAGGGGGTACTGGTTATGTGCATAAGAATATCAAAAACATTAGTAAGCAATATGTATCATAAAAAAATAATGTACTACTAAAATAGTAGCAGAACAATTTGGATGAAGGTTCAGCATGAGGATAACAATGGATGTAATGATTAAACTGACTAAAATGAACAAATTGAAAAAGTAAGAAACAAAATAGACGCAGTAAAAATACATGGTCCAAAAACTTAATCCAGCAAAAAATATATGCATTAAAATACTATGCATCAGACATCCAAATAACATAAGTTTCAATATTATGAACTACATTTATCACACATGTAAGCTTTGTATACAAGTTATTAAAAAGGACTGACAGAAACAAAATTTTAAAAACATTATAGATAGCAAGACTACACATCACTTGTAAAGTTGTAAATCTTTTCAGACCAATAATACTGAATTATTCCAAAAGCATTCATAGTCTGTTTGGAATGAGAAATTTTGGGAAATGATTCACGTTGTAAATGAAATTTTTTGTTCGTAAAGCTATGACATGGAAATTGAATTGATTCAGAAATCTATCTGATTTAATTATGTGGATTTAGATATCTTTTCAAATTTGATCGGATTTGTCTTGGTTTAAGTTTTAATTTAAATGGACTATTTTGCCATCATTAATTTATCAGTTTTACCAATGTTTCTCACGTATGTTTCTTCTTCATTCTTGTAAATTTGTATGTTTCTTCTTCATTTTTGTGTAATTGTATGCTTCTTCATTCTTGCATAGTTGTATGTTTCTTCTTCATTCGAGTATAGTTGTATGTTTCTTCTTCATTCTTCACATGTTGCCTATTCTTGCCCTTGTCTCAAAAGTTTAGTCTCACTTTATCTTTTTGCCAAGGATAATGTCACTCTCTCCATTTCTCAGCTTCCCTCCTTTGCCAAGAAGTATTCTTGATGATTTTCTTGAGGGCAAGGATAATGATGACTGCGACTGTCATATTCAATTTTTAATGATTTCAAACATAAGCTAACTCTCAAGGAAAGCAAAATTAGAATTCAACTTCAGGTTCAATTCAAAGCCGGTGCCCCCCATCTTCCACAATGTCAAAACAAGAAATGCGATTATTTGGGTTTATACAAATAAGTAATGTAAGGGAATATGATCAAGCATAACCCAATTTCCACTAACAAGACCAATGCTGAAGCGAATTCATAACTAGCCCACCACATAATATTAACTAAAAGAAAAGAAAAGGGGAAGAATCGCTCCCTCAGATTAAAAGGAAATGGCTCTTAGCTTGCAAAATAGAAATGAAAAATACGATCGGGGATTGATATTTTCTCTTAGCAAAAAACGCAATATAGCATATTCAATAACAAAGTTTAAAACTTTCACCCACAACATTTCACTTCACGCTTTAAGGAAATCGAACCCAAAAATAAATAAAATAGCAAACAGAGAGACACACCCTGCTGGAGCGTTCTGGAGAAGCCAACGCATGTGGGGTTTTTGGATTTGGCTTTATGAAGGGATGTGTAGTATGCGCATCCCTTACACGATTTTCCTTTGGATCCTGTGGTAGTGGGAGTAGGGTTAGGGTTAGGGTTTGGATTCGGATTTGGGTTAGAAATGGGACTTCGAGGTTGACCTCCTCCTCCTCCTCCTGCTGTTGGTGCTTCGTCTCTGGTGACCTCCATGAATTGGCAGAGGAACTTGCTCTTCTTCCTATGTTACTATATCTTGGCTCAATCACTAACCGCAAATAGGAACCGGGAAAACAGGTCAATGACCCATTAAACGCAACAACGAGCAAATGACACGACAATGTAATTTTATGGGATAAGTTTTTGGGTTTTATAATTTCTACGTACCCATTTTTGTGCTGACATGACATGGGTCTTACATATAATTTTTTTTAACACATGGGTCCCACATGCTTTTTATCTCTACAACATGAGAATTGAATTCTCATTCAACATGAGAAAGTCAAACCCCTAAGTTTTTATATCATTTTTGTTTTCATACCAGCCTTTCCTACCATACTCTAATATTAATAGATCAGAATTTCTTCGACTAACTTTTATCATTTCTCTATTCTTTTAATATTTTGATCTAAAAGTCTTGATGATTAGTAAATAAAATTAGCATGAAAAAAGGATAGATTAAATAATCTACCGTTTTGATTGGGCTTGATACAAATTAAAGGATAGAATACCAGTAAATTATCATTTATAAATGGGGCTTGTATTTATCATTTAACATGACAAAAAAAAGTTTCCTACACACAATATTTTATGAGATCCATACTTTTTGAATCAAAAAAAAAAAAAAAAAATTACGGCACGCAAAACGAATCTCTATAACATTACACAATCACTTTTCCTACAAAATAACTCTTACAAAACCCTTTATAAATACCCAATCACGTCTCGTATGATTTATTTAACAAAACCCAATGAGCCTATGGAGACTCTTCTCTTTCAATCAAAAAACACAAACTTGATGTGTACCAAAAAAAAATAAAAACACAACTTGATCGCTTTTTACGGCTTTGCTCTTATTACTGACTCTTTCGCAGAAGGAATACTACTTACGATATGTTTAAAAATTAAAACTCCATAATGTTAAAGATTCTGAAGCAAAGCTACCAAGTCCACACAAGATTATACCAGATAAATTTTTTAAAAAAAAAAAACTATTCATATTGTTTTAGGATAGCCAGAAAACAAAGTTTCTGACCTCATCGAACTTTCATATGGAAAGTATTTTCTACGCCCAGTGTCTTGTATATTTCATCAAATTCAAAATTTTCCACATCAAAGACTACAAACTAAGATTTCTAAGCTTATCTTTCAATGCTTTCCCACAATAAAAAATTATAGCCTCACTCAACCGTCTTTGTCATTATTGGTCAATCTAAAGTCTCCACTTCTGTACCCAGTCAACTCTAAAAAACTAGAGAATAAACGGCCAAAAATACATGAGATGCTACAATGCACAAGTTCTACATACATAAAGCATCCTTATACAATGTTAGGCCATGTAATGGGGAAATACTGTACAGTAAGATGTTTCTGTGCTACTATTCTGCCCTACAACTCTAAGGGTGCAGAAAATCACAGGAAGCACCCTTCTTGCAGTGTCCACTCTCATGGAACTTGCACACTCCTCTTTGCCCACCAAAGGGAGGCCTCGAAGAACCCCCTCCTCTTCCTCCACTGCTAAATGATGACTGCCTGTTCCAAGGTTTCCCTGCTCCATAACCAGAATCTCTGGCATGACTATGCTCACTTCCCCGCATGCTTGGATTCCCAGCAGATGAAGCCCAACCAGGATTGGCACTTCCAGGTGCTGGCCCTTGACCAGGCACAACCCAACCTGCATTTGCATTTACATGTGTATGTCCATGACCAGGTGCACCCAAGCCAACTGCATTTACTGGAGATGGCCCCTGACTTGGAGCAGCCCATCCAGGATTTGCATTTCCAGGGGCTGGCATTTGTGCAGGCATCCAGTTCATGTTCACATTTGCCGGTAAAGGTCCACCCCAGCTAGTGTTCGGGTTTCCTGGCATTACTCCCCAACCAGTATTTTGATTTTCTGCAACATTGCTGCCCCAAGGTATATTGGGTGGAGCAGGAGCTGCAATGTTTGACTGATTACTTGAAGTTGGTGGTCTCCAAGGATCAGGTGTAGTCATGCCTGGAAAGCCAGGCATTGGGAAATTCCCAGTTGGATTTCTTGTGCTAAATGAGGCAGAGTTCTGGACAGATGAAGCATCACCCAAGTGACCATGGGACAGCGGCTGGGTAGGCATCGTAGCAGGATTATTTGGTTCTATCCTTTGCGGTTCTGGCTTTGGAGCCAAACCAGATCCCCAACCTTGAGCTTCAGCATGAGAGTTACGACTGCTCACAACCAGGTTTTGCACATTCGCACCTGCAGTTTTAATGTCAACACCTGAAGCCAGAGCAGGTGCCACTGCTGCTACTTGAGGGGTAGGTGATGGAAGATTTGTTGATTCATTTCTAACAGAAGCATCAGAACCCCATCCATCTGCAGGATTATGGGGGATCTCAACTGCCCATGGAGAAGGTCTGCTAGTTAAAGAATTCATATCATCTTTAGATCTCCAATTTCCTCCTGTAATTTGACCCGAAGAACCCAAAATACTGTGTGAATTCAAAGATCCACTATTTTGATCAAATGTAGGTTTTCCTTCAACTTGACCATCTATACCTTGAGCAGCCAAATGAGACTTCCCAGAGTATGGTGATGAGTAATGCAAACCATGCACCGTTTGAGCCTTTGGAAAAAGTTTATCCACCACCGATGCTTCCTTAAAATTTTTTCCAGCAAAGGCATCTTTTAAGAGTATAGCCTCGTCTCGATTCTCTATGATTCTCCAAATTTTCAAATCAGAAGGAAAATATCCTGTGCTATTCCACTTACGAAGCTGCACCATGGAAAATGGTCCTTGAATTTTTCCAGATGGATCCTGATATTGCCACATCTTTTCTGTTTCATTAATTTTCACAACCGGAGGTGCTATTCCGGTAGAAGATGGTGCTGTAGGAACTTCTAACACAGCAGTAGAAAATGAGTCGGATGTTACCACAGGCTGGGTATTTCTAGAACCACTTTCAAAGCTTGAAGATAGCTTTGGCCTCTCCCAGCTGTTAGATAGTTGTGATTCCCTATCTCTACCCTGGAAATATTGAGCATTTAATGCCTCACTAGCATTTGAAAGATCATCGCGTTTGATTGGAAATCCCTTATTAGACAAATTTCTGCTTAGTTCCCGATTCAAGTTAGGGTGATTCCTTGCTCCACTCCAATAGTCATTTGTGATAGAAACACTTCTAGGAGAAACCATTTCTCTCCCCCTCCAACCAAATGCAGATCCTCTAGGTCTCATGTAGTTTTCTGCAGACACATAAATGAAATTATCATAGAATATTAGAAATAAATAAGAAAAATAATAATATATTAAGTTACATGTTCACACAGCAACAATTCTACCATGTCTTTTATCATCCATGTCATCTTCATCCTCTCCAGACTCATAACTAGGGTTCATGTTTGGATCAGCATGTATTTCTGGAATTTCCTCCAATCTACGTTGTTGTTCTTCAGGTGTTTTCAAAAGCTGCAATTTCTCTACACATTCTCTGAGCGTGAGGGGCAGTTAGGGATTAAATCAATATAGTACTCAGAGTTGTTTTCAAATAATTACAGCAATTATTAGAATAAAAAATTATCCTAACTATATAATAGACAAACAGAGCGAAACATTATTTTGAATAAAAATTAATGTATAATGAAAATTATCCATCTCAATCAAAAGATTGGTGCTAGATAGCATGACATGCAGTCAATAAATTTTCCATTATTATGAACAGAAAATGTTAAATATCACTACACAAGACTCAAATGTCAGCCATATATTACCAAAACATTTTTCTAGCAACCAAAGGTTATGCCTACCATCTGTTTAACTGAATATGATCATATGAGCCCAAAGCAGATTTAAAACAACATAAGACAATTGTATTATCAACTTCAAAATGCGTAGTCCATACGCTCCAAAAAGTTAAGGTCTCCAAGCTGGTAAAAGACAGTTAGCAATTTATCATACATTGATGCACTACGGTACTGTGTTTTTTAAGCATAAACCTTTTGTAAATACAACATATGATTTCAAGGCTTATAATGGGCAATGTATTAGAAATTAACTTTGCCAAGGACAATAGAAACTAAAACTATTTTCCCAAATATTAGAAAACCTATGTATTTAGATGTTTTGAGTATGAGATCTATGAAAATTTCAATATCCTCATATAATAAAACCAGCATGGGGGTCTGAAATTTTATATGTAACTTAGATTCAAATATATTACATAGATTTTCAAGGATAGAATAGAATGTCCGGTTACCAAACACCTAAAGATTTTCTTCATTCATACGACAAGATCCCACATAAGAGTCATCAATTCTCAATTTACAAGTAGCTGTCCAAATTATAAAGTGATAAAAAGGATCAAGTTAAAATCAAAACAATCCACAGATTTCTATCTCCACAGCCAGATAATTTCACAGCTGAGTGTTATAAACGAGACTAAACATTAAATTGGAGGAAGAAAAAATAAGTTATACTACAAGAAGTCTTTTTACAACAAAGAAAAAAAGATCAACAAGAACCAATATATAGCCAGATTATTATATTTAATTATATTACGAATAATAGAGGATATTCTTTTCTGTGCCCTTTTTCGCTAGCTCGGTCACGAAGATGACTTAGTCGCACTATCTCTGTTTCTAGCCACTGTAATAAAACAATAAATATTTGCATTAGATGACAAAGACCAGAAATTATATTTCAAATTACGCAGATGAAATCTAATCCAAATCAATAAAATAAATTATTAAAAAATGTGAGAAAATAATAACTTTTGAAACATGCATAAGCATACACCCCAGGAGGAAGAAGTAAAGCTAAAGGCATAGCATATTAACTCACATCTTTTACTCTGACTGCTTGAAGCACCATTGCTTTGTCCTGAATGTCACCCTACAAGCAAACATTAGTGTCCTCAGCGCAGAATACAACATCTGATGCCTGAAAGTATGATTTTAATGAGCTTAAAATTACCACAGTCAGCCGATTTATGAGGCCACACTTTATGCTCTGGCGGAGACGCTTGCACTCATCCTAACAAAAGAAATAATCAAGATCTTAAAGAATAAAAAGTATATTAACCTGAGTACAGTTTGCATAAATTATCAATTCTGATAATTAGAATAGACAAATAATAATTTTGTTCTCTTGACATTATATGGTTATATCAGTGACCGGCAAAACTGCATTCTGATTCTATTTTAAGCATATTAACCAATCAGGGTATAATTAACAATCAAAATGGAATATTCAAGTGGGATACCACCCAACATGAAATTTGGAGGTATTGAAATATGGTAGTCTACAATGTCCATTTCGATGTCAAGTTTTAAAGGGATACGATACAGCACTACAAAAGGAGAGACCGCCAAAAAGAAAAACTGTACTCTCCCTAAAAGGTAAATAATATCATAACAAAAAGGAGGGTGAGGCGAGCCTAAAACAAAAAGGTGTTGTGTATTGAATTACCTCTGTGAACTCCTGATTTGAGATGATATCAATCGATACAATCTCTGTCTTGTTTAAATTTAAGATTTCTAGCAAGATATCTGCCATCCTTTTACCAACTTTATATGGCTCTGCTGCTTTGCATACACCTGACACAAAGACGATCAAAAAGAGAAACAAAAGTGCAAATTTCATTTTATATTACACGCAATAACAGTATCAAAGATATTTTTGCACAAGTATTTACCTACAACCTGAACCAGCCTGTACAAGTCTTGCTTCTGACCACTACCAGAAATCCTTATTCTGACAAAAGAACCAACAACTATATCATGAAACTTTTCTGTATCTTCAAGTAGATCTTCCATCAAATTACGTCTTAGATAAATCAAATTAATATTATGATTGTCAATGGCTGCATAATCGTCAACATTAGATTGGAGTCCTCTCTCATCACCCTTTTTACGAGTTTTACGTCTCTTATCTTTGCCAGTTTTTAAATATGAATCAAAGTTTCCGTCACCTTCCAACTGACTAACTTCAGTATCGACAACACTGCCCTGCAGATCTTCAGCCGGGAAATCCTCTTTTAGAAGGAAATGGGATTCAAGAAGCTTTAACATTTCAAAATGTCCTACTCTTGGTTTACCAAACAAATTTTGAAGCCTTGCATCACAAATGATTTGACTTTTTCGGCGAGGATCTCGAAGCTTATTTCTCTTAATGTACTCTAGCAAAAGAGCCTGCACATCAAACTGAGACAAAACAGATTTGTCTCCATTCCGCATGTGCATAACAAACTCCAAAAGCTCATTTGATGCCCACTCAGAGCTGTCATCTGCAGCTGACCCTTCTGCTCTATTCACTGTCAATGCACTATCTGAATCCCTTACTTTGGAACGGGACTTCAACCGTTTCTTGGCCTTTCTTCTTTTAGAAGTACTCAAATATACATCCTCAGAGGAGCTATCTGAATGTGATCCTTCATCATTATTGGCATAAAAACTTTCATCAGGTGATTCCAGTTCAGCAGGAAACATCTCAGATTCCTTCCATGGATTTTTAGCTTGAGAAATTTCATCATATGTTAGAGACAGCCTTTCTTTTAGATCTAAGTAATAGTCCTTGAAGAGATACTCCCAGCTGTTTCTGTCATTAAAATCCAGTTGTCCCTGCAACGTGCATGAAAAATAAGTAGAAAGAAAGCTAAGGATACCAAGTCAAGCCAAGGAATCAAGAGCTAAAATCTAGCCGAATAAGACTGGACAACTTTTGTTGCGAGAACAACTTAAAGGCTTTCTTTGAATCGTTTCATATTTCAAACAACTCATTTAGTTTGCAATCATCAACTGAAGAATGAATATCCTGATGTAAAGGCTTTCGAGCAAATTAAAATAAAAAATCATCATGTAAAAGGATTAACTAAAGCAAACAGCTTTAGATATGTCAAAACCAATTGTCCAAAAAACTTAAGCTATTAGTCAAAGATATATGAATGGTTATAGAATACATTTCTAACAAGTCCCCTCACGTATCTACTTAGTGCTGAAATTCAACTGTTTATAAGGAAAATGGAGATGGCAAGAATCAAACTCTAGACCACTTGGTCATTGAAGGCTCTAATACCATGTCATGAACCCACTTTCCCAAAAGCTTAAACTGTTAGTGAAGACACATGAATCATTTCATATTACATTTCTAAAAAGGTAATTAGAAAATCAAATAAATAAAACTGTATTGCTACCAGAAATTCAGATGCTTGATATGTTTACTTGTCGCCTCCCATAAAGCAACAAATTACAACTAGTGTGAGGAGGAACACTAACTGACCAATTTAGCAACCAACCAACATAAGCTTTTTTATTTTTTTAAGAAGATTGGAAAAATTTCATTTTCACCACTTGTAGTTACAATGCGTATCACTTAAATCTCTTTGTTTAAGAGCTTGTTACACTTAAAATTAGGGCAAAATCTAAATCTCATTTCTCTCCTCTTCCTCTTAACATTATATTATTTTTATTTTATTATTTATATTTTATATAATATAATATAATATATATTTTTATACATTTTATTATTTATCTTTGTAAATATATCAAGAACGGGATCATTTTACACTACCGTAAGTTACACTCTCAGTGTCATTGATCTCATTGATATCTAACGGCTCCAATTTATTAATTATGCGAGTCATTCGATACAAGTGGATTAATGGCTAACGACGAATGTAAGACTTCTTATTCTTACACCGGTGTAAGTTGATCACGCACGCACACACACAGAGAGCAGTGGGATTTGGAAGAGGATGATGTTGTTTTTTGGTTTCAAGACGACAAAAATAGGAGGTACAATATGGGTTGTTGGTTTTGTTTCACTGGCAAATGGGATTTGGAAGATGATGATGTCGTTTTTTTGGTTTCATGACGACAAAAATAGGAGATACAATATGGGTTGTTGGTTTTGTTTCACTGGCAAATAGAACCTAACAATGGCAATATGTCGTACATTATTGGGGAGGGTGTAAGGTGGAGGATGGTAAGGGGGTTGGGGAAAGAGGATGAGAGAGGGGTTAGTTTGTGGTTGGTGGTAGAGCAGCAAGTTGTGGAGGTGGAGGGCATTTTTTGTCATTCAAACTTGAAAAATGTAGTGCGAGCAGGGTCTATAACGAAAGAAGACCATAAGGGATTTAAGTGATGAGTTTAAAACATAAAGGGGTTAAGTGATACATTTAGTCACAATGGGTGAAAGTTTTCTAAAATATTTGTGACATTTCAGAATTTAGAGTAACAATTTTACAAAAAAAACAAAATTAAAAAAATTAAAAAATATGGCAATAGGAGGGATTGATTAGGGAACATATACCAAGTCTTTGCTTCCCTGCTGCTCATCCTGTTCAATCAATATTAAAGTTCTCATGCATGTCTTACAAAAGCCCTTGTTTCCACGAACACATAAAATAACAGCATCTTTGATGCATCCCTTGCACAAAGAGAATGTACATGTATAACACATATAGTAAGCGTTCTTCTCACAATTGCTGCAAAGATGCCTACCTGGAATCGTGAAAGATCAAAGGATATGGTAAAGAAATATAAACATGATGATTAAGCTTTGCAGATTTTATATCTTATATTTCAAAATAAATTCAATTTATTTTTAAAGACAAGAAATTAAAAAAAAAGAAAAAAAAAAACGCCTACCAAAATCTATTTCTACTAAAAAGGCACGTACAAATCAGAGATAATAAAAAGAAAGAGCAAATTTTAAAAAGAAAGAGTTAAATTAAGTATGAATGAGCTCCATTAAAGTGCATTGATATTTTATTCTTAATAAAGTTATTTATTTAGTATTATGATCTATAAAATATGTTTTTAAAAAAGCACTGCTTTAACACAGTCTCACACCCTCTCCATTAAAAGCTGACAATGATAATGGAGAATCCATGCATCCAAAATCTTAATCACTTCCTACAATGATCATTTGCCTAAAATAATCTAGTACATCTCAACAACTGATATTAACTTCAACACGTCTCTAGTGTATACAGAAGGAGAAAGCATAAATGGAGGTTCGTAGTTTAGCCACTGATGTTTATTATGGGCAATGGGCAGGGCCTACGAAAAGAGTAGGTGAATGAAGATTTGAGTTAAAACGTTAAAGATCTGGGTAAACTTGTTAATGTTAGAAATTCCATAAGGTTATATTGAAAGCCTCCTCCAATGCCATTGGATGCATAAACTATATGCATATCCATGACTTCATTCATACCCTTTCAGGCACTATCCACATTTTGAATTACTATCTTCAAACCTCGGAGATACATTTGGACCATATTTAAAGCTTCGAAGCCATGAGAATATTACCTACATGTCACTAACAAAATTTCGAACTTCAACTACAAATTTAACAGGGACGGCAGAGAATAAGGAAACATACCACAATTCCATTTACCCTTGGCTCTAAAAGAGGCCTCATCCCGATTAACGCATGTAGAATGATAAGCTTTCGGGCATCCCCTAATCAAAAAATAAAAAAATAAAATAAACAACGAATTTTCTAAATAAACTTATAAAAAGAAGACTTGGATACAAAGTATGACATTGCATAATAATCTCTCACCTGCGGTCGCAAAGCACAAGCTCACCCCCATGATCGAAGCAAATGAAACAAACCTCCTCTTCCGTCTTTTTCCTAGATGGAACTCTCCCTGTAGTTTTAGAATTCTTCACACGGTTCCTCTTGCCACCACCACTAACACTTCTACTTTGCTCCTCTGTATCTTCCTCTTCCACAATACAAGTAGCAGCATCTGCTTCTTCCTCTACCAAATCAGTTCCATTTGCTACCTCCTCATCATCTTCCTCTTCCTCCACTTCAGTGTGATTTCCATCGACTCCGCCAATCACATTCACCTCTTCGGTCTTCAGTTCCACCTCCACATCCGTGACATCGTTTCCCTCCTCATCATTTCGCTCCACAGTTTCATCTTCCAAGCTTTCCTCAACAGAAACCTCGTCACGCGTTTCTTTCATAACTTCCATTTCGTGGCTCTCACTAGCCAAATCAGTAACCAAGTTCTTAGCAGCAAGACCTACAACTTCAGACAGTTCCGTCTTCTCTGCCGCTTCCATAACAACCGTATCTTTCTCTTCCACAACTTCTGCCTCTTCGTCTCTATTCTCCATGCTCGTGCCCGTATCCACTACCTCACTAAACTCCCCGGCGGTAGCAACCTCGTCGTTTTCACCGGAGGCCGGCGACGGCTTGTTTAATTCACCGGCGTCGCATTGTAGCACTGTGGTTGGGAGCTCTGCGGCAGTTACTGTGTGGTGTTGGAGTGCAGGAGAATGTTTGCGTGGAGATTCGTCGTCGTCAGCATCCATGGAAAAGAGGTTTGAAATTTTGGGGATTGAAATCCCTAATATTGATTTCGAGCTTCAATCTTGATCAATTCTTTTTTTCCTTTTTCTTTATTAATTCTTTGATACCAAACAAACCCAGTGGCTTTTAATGTAACCAAGAACTCGCACAGAGAAAACTGGAATTAAGCCAGAAGGGTGTTTTTTTCTTCGGTTGCATTTTTCTGTGATTAAAAGACCAAAATATCCTTACGTACTGCTCCACGATGACAATCTTGCCTTCAGCCTTAGTGCCCTACAGGGCCTACATTGTACTTGTCAAAACGGACCGGACTGGGCTTTCTTGATTATTTGGATCGATCCAAATTGGTCAAACTCATATTGATTATTGACCACTTACCAAATGATAGAGAAAATTTCAGACCAGGGCATTTTGGGCTCTGCATTGAGCCCAATTAATGGGGCATACTCTTTTGTTTAGTTGAGCTCGATCCCCACTTCCAATGTTGCTAAACCAATATAGGACTGGCAGTTTCCATTTTTTTAACAAATTTTACTGTTTTTTTTTTGGAAAAACTTCAAAAAAAATCCTATGAGTTTTCTCAATTATCACTTATCCCCTCACAAATTTTTTGAATCATTTACATTTTTATTTAAAAAAAAATTATCACTTACCCTCTTGACTTAAAGTTTTTTTTATCACTTACCCCCTCACTTAGGGGGGTAAATGATAAAAAAAAATTTAAGCCAACGAGATAAATGATTCAAAATTTTGGAGAGGGGATAAATGATTATAAAGAGAGTTATAGGAAAATTTTTGAAGTTTTTCCTCTCTCTTTTTCACGTAAAGCACATTTTTTCGGTAAATCAATAAAAATGATATAAGGTTATATCATTTAAAATGACAGATGTTATTCTCATATATAAACAATCCATCTATCTTTATCGAATATCTTCAATTTTATAGAGTTGATTTATGATATAATATCTAGAATTTGATCTTAACTTTCTAGAGGAGGGGATATTATTGGTGGTTATCTCTTCTTAGACTTTGATTTTTTAATATTATATGCATAAATTGATATTTTTTAATAATTATAAACTATTAATATTGATAGTTAGTACTTCCCTGGAAAATATTTATAATAATTAACCCCTTCCATTAATTTCAATAACCCCTAAAATTTTAAAATTTTATTTTCACCATTCATTGTAAAAAATCTCAAGTGCCCCACAAAATATCAATATGACTCTTCATAACCTTAGGGCATGTTTGGTGCATAGTATAGGATAAGGCCTGATAGTATAAGGTCTGTTTGAATTTTAATACTATCCAGCGTTGGCACGGTATTGTATAAAATAATATATTGTATAAGATAATATCATCTAGTATTTGGTAATGTACTGTATAATACTATATATGATAAAAATAAATATTTTTAATAAATAATTTATAATTCTTCAAAAAATGTCATATGATATTAAGTTTTATAAAAATTTATTGATCAATGTGTCCAAAATATAAATTAATTTTTATAAAAATAAAAATGTTCAATATTTTAAAAATTAATATATTGAAAAATGAATTTTTATTTTAATAGGTTAATATTAAAATAATATATTAATTTTTGAGAATTACATTGGTCAACAATGTTAATACATCAATCTCTTATCAGGCCTTATCCCTCACCCTTATGCCGGATTAAGTTATACATCGTTTTGATGTATTAAAGGATTATGTTGTATAAGCTTATACTATACGATGGTCATACCAAATAATTGAAAATGTCATAACGTATAGTATAAGCTTATACTATCATGCCTTATACGTCACACCAAACAGGCCCTTAAGCTTTTTGCAACAATTTAGGGAGGTTTTCTTTATTAATTCAATCCGATTCAATAATAAAAGTTGATATCTGAACTATTTTTTTTTTTTTTGGTAAACATATCTGAACTATTTGTTTTTGTATTCGGTCACAAGTCGAATTTGTTTAATTTTTATTTATTTTCACCATTGTAGTTTTGTAATTTATCATTTGACTCTCTATGATTTTAAATTTATCACTTATATGCTTAAATAATTTGTCATTTAACCCCTTGTGATTTTAAATTTTCATGTAGACACCTTGTGATTAGAAAAAATTCCACTTAAACCCTTTATGGTTACAAAAATAAAAACTGTAAAAAATAAATATTTAAAATAAATTTTCCCTCCTTATTATTTTATATCCTCACCGGATGCATTTAGGGTTTAAAAAATTAAAATTAAAATTAAAAAAAGACTTATTTTTATCAAAAAAATAAACTTTTTTATTTTATCTATGTTTTACCTAACATCGTTATAAAGTTATCTAAATATTTTATTTATCTTAAATAATATTTTTTAATTTTAAATATTTGTTTTTTTAAAATTTTATTTTTTTAAACCACAAGAAATCTAAGTGAAAACCATAAGGCGTCTCAGTGAAAATTTGAAATTATAAAGGGTTAAATGATAAATTATTTAAGTACAATGAATCTAAGTGATAAATTTAAAATCCCATAAAATCAAATGATAAATCATAAAATCACGGTGACTGAAAATAAAATTTCTCTTATTTTTTATACATCGTCTAATCCGTTTACTTTGCCCATGTTCCTGTTGTTTTAGAAAAACCCGGCAAAAAAGCCCTACAATGCAAGCAAGAGATACTTACCAATAAAATACCTGTCACGTGATTTTCGGGTGGCAAGCTCCCGAAGAAAAGTGGGTAAATGTCAATACAAATGGGGCATATTCTTATATAAGAAAATCTGTTAGCTGTGGGGACCTTGTTAGAGATCACAATGGTATGTTCCTTGGTGGTTTCAAACAAAATCTTGGCTGTAATAATCCTTTGAATGCAGAGTTATGGAGAGTATTGAAGCGCTTGGAATTTGTTTGGAGTTCTGGTTTCAGAAGGATTATAGTGGAGTGTGACTCCATGAATGCTATTTCTCTCATTTACAACAATGATCCTAATTCTATAAGTCCTCAGGTTATAGACCGAATTCGTAAGTGGATGGCACAAGATTGGATTGTGCATTGCAATTATATCATCAGGGAAAACAATATTGGATTGCTTCTTACACAAATGATGGAGATAGAAATTTTATTAAATTTGCTAGGCCTCCTCCTTCTCTTAAGGAGCCCCTGGTAAGGGATGTCTCCAAGTTTGTTTCTTTGTCTTGTTTCTTGGTCTATGATTGTTTAGTTTTTGTTTTTGGGGCTGTGCCCCTCTTTATTTAAAAAAAAAAAAAAATTGCCTGTCACGTCATCCGTTCTTAATGATAGCACTGAGGGGAATGCATCATTATAACGCGATCAGTTAAGTCAAAATAAAATATTAAAATGTAGCAATAAAATAAAATAAAACATGAAAGAATATATTAGCAGCAGTAACACCTACCCGTTGAATATTTAAAACATCAAATGGAGCAATAGATACATTAAATGTCCCTTTTGAACTGTATATGACTACATATGCGAAATACAAAATAAAAGACCACGAAAATTAAATAATGCATTTTATTTATTTATTTGATACATAGCTAAGCATGGATTATGGACGCCAAATCCTCTAAAAAGACTCATCAAGGGTACAATTCAGACGATAACTGGGTACCGCAACAAGTTGAACTGCTCTTGGAGCAGTGAGGCCAAACACATCATTCATATCAAGCTCACTTGGCTTCATTCCATTGGGTAACTCCCACTCGAAACAATGAAGCAAGTGAGCCACAGTCATTTCCACAGCATAGAGTCCAAGTTGCATCCCTGGGCATGATCTTCTCCCTGACCCAAAAGGAAGGAACTCGAAGTTGCTTCCTTTGAAATCTGGCATGCCATCATTCAAGAACCTTGACGGCTTAAATGTTTCTGGTTCATCCCACGCGCTCTTGTCACGGCCAATGGCCCACGCGTTGATCCAAACACGTGTTCCTGTTGGGATAGAGTAACCTGCGACGACACTGTCCTCTGCGGTCTCGTGGAGAAGGAGGGGAATCGGAGGGTGGAGCCTCAAGGTTTCTTTGACCACACATTTGAGATAAGTCAATTTTTCGAGATCAGATTCGGTGAATCTTCGGTCTAAACCCACAATATCCGTGAGCTCTTGTTGGACCTTTTGGAGATCCATTGGGCTCTTCATGAGTTCTGCCATGGTCCATTCTATCACCGATGCTACAGTCTCAGTTCCACCAAACATTACATCCTAACATAACATTCTGATCATTAGAGTTTCTTATATGATGTTACAAGACTTTTGAATAATAAAATTGGGTAATAATTTTCTCACGTAGCCGGAGATAATAATTATCTCTTAATTATTTCCTACTGACTCATTTGTATAAGTGAGTTCCACATAGTATGAGATAATAATTATCTCTTATTGACTCATTTGTATAAGTGAGTTCCACATAGTAGGAGATAATAATTATCTCCTACTGACTCATTTGTATAAGTGAGTTCTACTTTTAAGGGAAGAGAGAAAAAAAGTAAAGTGAAACCCATCTTAAATTTATGTATGTAGGAAATAAGTATTTTCTTATGTAACATAAGAATAATAAATCCTAATAAAATTATAAGAAAATTAGAAACGTCTGAAATGGTTAATGTGACATGAGACTTTGAATAAAAAAAATTACGCTAACTGACATTTTGCAGTTGTACCGTCTCACTAGTATGAGTTGGAATCCAAAAATGAGGTGCAATTAATACGATATTTCATTTATGATTTTTATGGCAATTTAAGGGATTCTATCGTTAAACATCTGCATTGAAATTTGAATGCTTGTCAATGGCACAAAAAAAAGGATGTGGAAATATATAAATAAATATATCTCAAAATCTTGTAATTACTATTAGTCAAGGAGAATTAATATAGAAGTGTCAAACTCTTTTAGAAATCTGAATTTAATTGGTACCTACGTATAATTAATGATACCTAGTAATAATTTAACATTTCATTATTTATTATTATAATCAATAAGAAAATAAAGTAATAACAAATAACAATGTGTTAAAATAATAATAAATATCATTTTAAAATAATTTTTTATAATTACTGTATATGCCAATTAAACTCTACAAATCTTTTTGTATCAATATTCTTAATTATTTAAAAAGAAGGAAATCAATAAAAAAAAAGTACTTTAAGACTTTTAGACTTGTCTTTTTAGTTTTCTCACATCATCTTCTGCAATAAATATTTGGTGTTACTGTTGCACCAAAAATTCAGTACATCCCACCAATAAAAATATTACATGTTAACTAAAATTTTCTTTTCTCTGTCAATTTTTTTTCTCTCGTATGATATGCTTTCATTGGTGAGATACACTGAATCTTGATCCAACAATAGCACCAAAAATTTATTCCTTCTTTTATGTATATTCAGTTTTCTTATATCTTTTTAATAGAATTAAATATTCTGCTGCTTACCAAAAAAAAAAAATATTCTGCTATAAAAGTCAAACATTAATGATTGTGTTGAAAAAAAATTAATACTGAAATTTGATATCAATATTAATATATATATACATATGAGACAAGAGTGATATCCATATCAAATTTTGAAATTTGACATCATATCTTAATTATTGATTTCTATCGATCAACGTTTATTATTTATTGAAAATTAATAATTAATTAATAAGTTAAATTAAGGAAAATTATAACAGTTGATTAACGAAAATCAACTGCTACAATTGGGTGTCAAATTTTAAAGTTTGACACTGGTATCAAAGTATATATATATATATATATATATATATATATATAAAGGTAATATCTATTTGACACCAATGTCAAATTTAAAGTTTGACACCTCACCTATAGCCATTAGATCAAAAACTATCTATCAACACGACTGTGATTTGTAGATTTGTATGTATGTGACACCATTGTCTATTGATCTTTTTTGATCTAATGACTCTGTATCAAATGATGTTAGCGGGATATATATATATATATATATATATATATCATTTACGTACTTACCATGATAAGAGCTTTGATGTTGTCCCTGGTAAGCTTAAGGGCCAATTGTGAATTGTCCGAATGAGTACTATCACCACCATCTCCTTCAATAAGAAAAACCATGAGCTCATCCACCATATCTGTATCTGCTTCGTTCTCACCCTTTTTCTCCATGTTGTTCTTCCTCTTTGCCACATGATCGTCAATGATCTTGTCAATAAACACATCAAGTGCTTGTCTTGCATTGACCATTCTCTTATTAAACTCTTGTGCATGAAACCAACCCAACCATGGAATAAAATCCGCAATGTTGAAAGCTCCGAAGAGCTTCGAAAACTCTTGCAAGATTCCCATGAATTCCTCTTGCCCTTCGTTCAAACTGGCCCCAAACGCTGCCTTGAAAGTGATGCTCCTAGTTAGAGCGAAAACCAGCTCACCCAAGTTAATCGGCGAACCGGCTTTCCCTGCTACGGTTCGAACCGTTCCTTCGACCTCCTCTCGTACGGAAGCCCACGATTCGGCCCGTTTACGGCTGAATAGCTTCATCACACAGATCTTACGCATCTGCCGCCAAAACGGGCCGTAATTCGCAAAGGCCATGTCGGCCCGGTCGTAGGTCAAGTAGGTGATCGCAACGTTCGCGGGCCGGTTTGAGAAAACGCCATCTTGGGCCTGTAGAACTTCACGGGCCATTTCCGGTGTGGACACGGCAACTATGTGGAGTGTGCCCATTTGTAGGTGGCAAAGCCCACCGTAACGTTCAGAGAGCCGAGCCAAGCCACGGTGGGTGAGTTGGTCCATCATTAACATGTTCCCTATGATGGGTAGCCCTTTTGGGCCCGGTGGGTATGGGAGTTTTCTATGTAGGCGAAGCAAGAAGAAAATGAAAGCTGAGAGAGATAAGAGAAGAAAAAGAATGGCTGAAGATTGGAGGGACTGAGGAAGGAACTCCATTTGTGTTGGGGATGTGAAACGAAATGGGTGAAGGGAAGCATTTTGTAGAGAGTTAATAAATGCTTTTGTGGACAGCACATTAAATGGTATTAACATTTAATACCAAAATGGCATTGCTTTTGCTTGTATAGGATATTCCTAAAATCGGTGATTTATTTCCATTTGCAGCTCTTAATGTAAACATTTAATGGAAACGTTTGGCTCCAAAATAAACAAATATATCAATGGGAACAAAATTAAATGGCAATAAATTCAATCCATTTATATTTTACTTTTACTATTTAAACTTAGAATAGGATATTGTGACACACAAATAATGTTACGCACAATGTTACGACCACATCTTAACCGTTGATTTCTGTCAATCAACGGTTATCATTTATTGCGAATTAATAATTAATTAATGAGTTTGATTTGAAAAATGATAACCGTTGATTGGCGGAAATCAACGGTTAAGATGTGGTCGTAACATTGTGCGTAACATTATTTGTGTGCCACAATATCCTATCCCTTTAAACTTTTAGAAAAATATTTTTGCAGTTAATGCAGATAAGTTATCTGCATTTACTCTCAAAACAATATTGAGAATGAAAAATTAAAAAATTATAATCATAAAGACTAAAATAATTCTAAAATAAATTAAAATTACAAAAACACCATGATTTTCGCCCCAAAATGATGTCGTATTGGTCTTACTGCAGATAACTTATCTGCAGTAACTACAGAAAAAACGAACCCTTAAACTTTTTTATTTTCTTTTCCAAATATGTCAATGCTTTTATCTATTGTATTTATTAAATAAGATCTGTCGACTTATTCTTATTTGTTAGATATGATATTGCTGACTCAAAACTTATTTTAAGGAGTGTATAACGTAATCAATGTTATAAAAATCGGACCGACCCGGAAACCGGTTCGGTTTTCATATTGGACATTTGGACCGGTCATGTTACAGAACCGGTGTGACCCGGTGCGACCCGACCGGTTTTCGTAAAAACTGGTGACCCGGTCCGGTCTATAAAAAAAAATTAATTTATTTTCATAAATTAATGTCTTTTCTTTTTTTACTCTAAAACACAAATGATTTGTTTTCTTCTGAAATATTTGAGTGATTTGTAGCTTATTAACTTACATAGATTATGTACCTACAACATTAATATTATCTTAATTATGCAATATACAGGGAATTTTGATTAGATTTATAGTTAGAGGTGTCGTTTACTGAATGTGAAACACTAGTATTACAAATATTATATATTTGATTGATCTTTTGTTGGACAATGATATGTAGTTTATTATTTTCATATTAAAATATTTGAAATTGATATATTTTTTACAAGTATTTAAGTATATTTATAATTTTTTTAATATAAATTGTAGATTTACATATACTTACCGGGTCATGCGGTTGAACCAGTACCTCGACTGGGTCAATAACCGGGCCGAGTTTAATAACATTGAAAGTAATACCTTTTGAAAAATAGTAATAATAATAGTAATAATAAATTAATAAAAATAAGAATAGTATATATCCATAATAAATAGTAATAATAAATTAATAAAAATAATATAGTATATACTTTTATGTGTATCAAAATATAAAGCCTAACACAGTTTGATAGTTGGATTCCTTAAGCATGCTGACAAGGGTTCGATCCTTGACTGTGTATATAAAAAAAACCTTTGTTTGGTGAAGTTTATCCACTCAATGCGATTTTCACCTCGAAAGAATTAGTCCGAGCCGAAGAATACTTGGGGGGGGGGAGAGAGATGTATCCAAACCTAGGGTTGGCTAAAACAAGCCAACCCGTCGTAACCCGCAAAAAATGAGTTGAGTTGGGTTGGGTTGGCTTGACAAGGGTTCGATCCTTGACTGTGTATATAAAAAAAAGCTTTGTTTGGTGAAGTTTATCCACTCAATGCGATTTTCACCTCGAAATTCGAGCCGGAGAATACTTGGGGGGTGGGGGTGGGGGGGAGATGTATCCAAACCTAGGGCTGGCTAAAATGAGCCAACCCTTCGTGTTGGCTCGTAACCCGCAAAAAATGAGTTGGGTTGGGTTGGCTTGCCAACCCGAGCCAGTTCATGAAAAAACGAGCCAACCCGCGGGTCAAACGAGCCAGCTCGCAGGTTGAGAATTTTGTTATTATTATTTTTTTATAAAAAAATACGAAAATATAATATACAAAAATAGACAAAATCCACAAATGCTGTCATCATTTTTCTTCCTTCTCTAAACCTAAGTCCCTAATCTTCTCACATCCCTGCCATTTTATATTTTTAGGCTGTGCTGGCTCTGTTTGGTTCAAATATCTTACTCACTTCGTAGCAAGTGGTTCTGATTGTTTCTTGATGTTGATGCAAATTTGTAAGAAAATTTGAAACTAAAATATTTGCTTTTATTTCTCATTTTGTAATCCTTTGTTTAAGCTAATGGAAGCCATATAGCCGGTGCATTAATAATACATGGTCACTTAAATAGGCTGAAAATGAGACAACCCGCGAGCAATTTTCGAGCCATCCAGTGAGCCAAATTTTGAGCCAACTCGCGAGCTATTTTTTCAAGGCAACCCATGAGCCATATTTTTGAGTTAACCCACGAGCCAACTCTAACCCGACTCAGGTCAAGTTGGGTTGGGTTTTCTGACTCATTTTTTTTTTCGAGTCAACCCTAACCCGACTCGTTTTTTCGGGTTGAATGCAGGTTTGACTGGGCCGGGCCGGGTTGGCCCGTTTTACCAACCGTATCCAAACCATGTCTAATCAGGAAATTTGTGGATTAACCCTAGATGGATCAACAGCCCCGAATTTTCCTGTAAAACCCTAAGTGATGCATGGCACGCCATCATTTGCAAAATTCTCCAATAATAATAATAATGAGATTATAGCCTAATTTGTCTTTGAAAGTTAATACCAAAATACCATAAATAATATATTATTTGGGACATAGAAAAACTGTAATTTTCATGGCACTACACTATTTCAAAAATAAAAAATCTTTTTCCGAGTCTTCTTTTTGGATTTTTAAACAAGCTTATATGAAAAGAATGGAAAGAACATTGTGAAATATATATAAAGAGAAAGGGGTAGGTTATATTTACAATATTTTATAACCTCTTATAATTATTTTGTTATCATTAAATTAAATGGAAAAATATTTGTCATTTTAAATGACATAATTTTGTATTAATTTTAATGAAACTATGTCATTTTGGTATATTATTACATTCTCTCCTCCACTTTTTTTTCTTTCTAATTTTATAAAAAAGAAAAAATGTTAAAAAATACAAAAAGCACACCAAATCGACATAGTTTTATTAAAAATGACACAAAGTTGTGTAATTTAAAATAATAAACATTTTCTCCTAAATTAAAATTAAAATAATATCATTTTGTGTCATTTTACATTAAAAATGACACAAACGGGTCGGGTTGGTCCGTTTTGCCAACCCTATCCAAACCATGTCTAATCAGGCAATTTGTGGATTGACCCTAGATGGATCAACGGCCCCAAATTTTCCTGTAAAACCCTAAGTGATGCATGGCACGCCATCATTTGTAAAATTCTTCAATAATAATAATAGTGAGATTATAGCCTATTTGTCTTTGAAAGTTAATACGAAAATACCATAAAGAATATATTATTTGGGACATAGAAAAACTGTAATTTTTATGGCACTACACTATTTCAAAAATAAAAAATATTTTTCCGAGTCTTCTTTTTGGATTTCTAAACAAGCTTATATGAAAAAGGATGCAAAGAACATTGTGAAATATATATAAAGAGAAAGGGGTAGGTTATATTTACAATATTTTATAACCTCTTATAATTATTTTGTTATCATTAAATTAAATGGAAAAATATTTATCATTTTAAATGACATAATTTTGTATTTTTAATGAAACTATGTCATTTTTGTATATTTTTACATTCTCTCCTCCACTTTTTTCTTTCTAATTTTATAAGAAAGAGAAAATGTAAAAAAAAAAAATACAAAAAGCACACCAAATCGTCATAGTTTTATTAAAAATGACACAAAGTTGTGTAATTTAAAATAATAATAATTTTTTCCTAAATTAAAATTAATATAATATTATTTTATAACTGTTTATTTGATTTTGATCTAATAATAAAAATAATAATTCTAAGAGATTGTATAGAAAAATAATAAAATAACATACATATATAGGGCTTATCATTTATCAAGCTGCTTGAGATAATTTTATCTCCGGCTACAGAATCATAACTATATAAAGATGGATCAATGGTAATAAAGGAAGGGAGAAAAAAGGAATCATAACCATTCCAAGGTGAATAAATTAATATAAGAAAATAAATAAACAAAATGACATGATTTTGGAATGGACGGAGATAAATATATCTCAAGCTGCTTAAGAAATATTTCTCTCTCATATAGATATATATATATATATATATATATGTATATATATATATATATATATATATATATATATATATATATATATATATATATACATATAATATTCCATTATTCGATCTTATGAATTTGTCAAACCTCAATAAATGAAAAGCGAGTTAACAATAATTTTATGCTCAATTTTGCATCCTATTTTTCTAAGGGAAAATGGTTTCTTATATCACAGGAGAAGCTCTCCTACTAATACAACAAGCAAGTGAGGTCCATTGGAAACATGTGGGGCTTATTTGCTTGTTCTGTTAGTAGTAGAGAGAAATCATCTCGTATGACAGAAAAAATCATTATTTTTTAAAGGAAAAATAAAAATTCTTTAGTTATTATTATGTAAATATAAACTACATCAAACCTGTATTTTTAAAAAGGAAAACTTTTTGGACTCGTTTAGAATCCAAGATAGAAAGGATAATATATGGTAGACTATCATATCTTGCATCAATGTTCACCAATATATGGTATACTCTTAGCTTATTGCATCAATGTTCACCAAGATATGATAAGCTATCCTAAAAAATAGGTCAGCAATGGACATTATAAGATAA